TTTCTGAATGCTTGGAAGTCATAAAAAATCTGAAACATCTATTCTGTACATTTTTATAAAAATAAAAAAATATTTTTTTTATTCTTGACTTTGTTGTTCCATTTGTTGCATTTGTTGTTCTTGAGCTATTTGTTGTTGAAGTTGTTCTTGTAATACAATACTTTCACAGTTGCATCTTCCAATTCGAAACTTTCTGCCGTCATTGACAAATACATAGGACATAAAAGTTTTACAGGAACAAAGTTTGCGTCAACTAATGTCAACGTTATACTTGCCAAAGTGTTTGAGTTCACTAAAGTTGAAAATTCTGCATTCGAATGAACAATAGGCAAACCAGCAGAGAAAGTATTGTTTATACGCATAAGTATCTTTTGGTCATAATAGTTTCTGTCGACATTCGAATAACACTTTGAACCTAAGTTTGAAACAATATATAAGATTGGTGTGCTTAATGTCAATGGAATAGACATTCCTTGTATGACACCTTTTCCTGTTATAGGAAACTGTTGGTAGTAAAAACCAGAAATAAGTTTTGTATTATAGCTCATATCGTTTATAGTAAACTCAGTCGGACATCCAAACATAATGAAACCTGCTCTAGTTGCAGCACATGTTACACCCGTACTTAAAGTATTAAATAAGTCAACAAAACCTGTTGGTGGTATATCTGAGTAAGTATCTTCAAAGGAGTATTTTTTACCATTCACAACAATAAAGTCTTCTGGTGTCAAAAGAGCAAAACAGGCTTTAGTCGTCATTGTGTTTAAGGTTAGTTTACAATATCGTCCTTGAGGACTTTGTAAGTTTGTTGTTATAGAATTATATGACTCAGGGTTTTTAGTCGTAATAGTATAAACCATTATGTCTTCTGCCATTTACTTAGCAAATAAATTTTAATGAAATGTTGTGGTCGTCAAATATTTTTATAACGTCTGGGAAACTATATTTTAAGTTCAACGTTTCACCTCCTTTCATAACGTATATCTTGTCAATGACATTATATGAAACACCACAGCAACTAATGTCGGGTTCTATTTCTTTGATGTTTATATCGTCTGCCTCTGTCAAAAGTTTCAATAGTTCTTTCAAAACTTCATGAGGTGCAATGACATATGAGTTCACTTTTACAGGGTTGTGTTCGACCAAGTTTAACATTATATTACTTAAGAGCTTGACAATCTTCTCCTGAGTTTGAAGTTTGTCTTTTAGTTGTTGGTAGTCGTTTCGAATATCTGCAACAGAACTTAAGTCTCTGTTAACTTCAGGATATGTTGGTTCTTTTACAGGAACAATTGTTATACCATCTTCGTCTTCGTATGGTTCCCCACTTCAACATCTCTGTCTTTTGACATTGACAACAACACTTTGACTGTTTGTTTGAGTTGGTGAATTTAACTTCACATCTGCCACCACCATTAAACCTTTTGAAACACTTACGCTTCTATTTTTCGGAAATGACATTTTACTTAGAATAAAAAGATGGACGTATTCGGATATCTTATTGAATTGAAGCAGAACAAAGTTTATACTCACAAACAATACAAATACATTGACAGAATAGTTCTTTACACAAACAATGGAAAATGTTATAGAATAGCAGTCTTTGCTGAACCTAAATATTTTCATAAAGCAAAGAAAGTTGGTATAACTGAAATGGTGAAAGTTCTTGAAGCAGACAAAAATATAACTTCAAAACTTAACAGATATTACTAAAGGAAAGTTTATAATACAATATTATGTCAAAACTGGCGTACTGTCAATATTTGACGGAGAGAAGTCAGTTCAAGAACAACTTACTGACCTGCTGCCAAAATCTGCTCGATGGAAGCTGTCGTTATGCCAATCTGAGGAGCCCCAGCAGGTTTCATCGAACGAATCTTCAAAAGAGCATCTTCCCTGAAAAGTGCTATTGGTTTTGTAAACTTCTTTGCTCTCAATTCATCTGGACCGTCTCTGTCACCAGTATATTGTATTTGAACTGTACCAACAGTTGAAATACCACCCATAAAGTCTTCTGAGTCAGCAAATGGAATGCCAAGCCAAAAGTTTGAACGGTCTCCATTTGTATATTGAGTTTTTTGACCTCCTGTATGAGTCCATACTTTCACATATGGCATAATAGAACTTTGCATTTCAGGGTTAATGGTTGTTGTGAAGTTGTTGTTAAAGTTCATAGCATCTAATGTCAAGTTATATGACCTCATATCCTCAACTGTAGAATATTCTTCTCTTGGATAATATTTGCCATCTATGTTTATATGATATTTAATACCAGGGTTGTAGAAACAAGAATAGTCATTTATAGTTCGTCTGAACAGTACAAACATAGTATCTGCATGTTTCATTGCAGTTGTTAAAGCAATATCTGTTCTTGCACCTGCGGCTCCTGGATTTTTGGTTTCCAACTTCACCTGCAAAGTCTTTGACAGATATTTGGTGTATAGGGAAACATAAGTGGAACTGCAATATATTTGGCAGCTAAAGCATTTGAAATATCTGGGTCCAACATATAGACTGCAAGTCTGCTTTCTATTCTCTTGCATTCAAACTTTTCGCATGTGAACTTAACTGGGTCCAAGCAGTTCCAGCAGCATTGAAATAATAGTTTACTTCATTGTTGAAGTTTGAGAAACCAAAGTCTAAGTCAACTTTGTCTTTGCAAAATTCGGCGAATGACGTTTGATTTGTTCCCTTTACGTCTGTAAGAGTGAATGGGTCTTGTGTTGGTGCAATGACTAAGTTATTTTTTGCTTGGAGTAAGTTCAATAGAAATTTTTCCTGCCCAGTTTGGCAAGTATCTTAAAAACCTGAAGATGAGGAAAGATGACAAAGGAACTCTAAGTTTCAGTTTTACTTTAGTGGCAGCAGTTCCATCTGAACCAGAAAGGTTAACATAAACTCTGGAACGTTAGGGTCAAGTCTTCTTATTTTCTCAATATTTGCATACTGGTCTGTTTGTTCTCTAGCTTGTGGTTGTACTGAGTTTCTCAAAGCGAACCATTCATAGTTTGCCCATGTTACTGTTTGAACTAAGTCAGAGTTAGAATATATCTTATATCCCATGAAAACTTCTGGAGCATATTGGTATCCGACATAGAAAATTCCATTGCAACCTTTCTTGTCAGACAACTTGGCAGAAGGTTTTATTTCAATGTCTTGTTCCACGTATAAGAATGAGTTGTCAATAGAAATAATATGAAACCTGTCGCAAGCAATATCTACTGTTGTTGAAGAACCTTCTCCAAACTCACCTACGTTTCCATAAGAAACAGCAGTTGTATATTCGTAAGTTCCAGGAACTATTTCTGACCTTCTAATGGCATTGTCGCATTCGTTATACCATTCGGAAACATTTCCGTTCATGGCATCCAAAACTGTTGGCGTTATATTCTGAGCGGCGTACATTTCATATGGGTAAAAATATAGAATAGTTGGATTTATATGTCATAATAGAACCCACTCGGACCAAGCTTTACTTTCTTCCTGACTGAGTTTTTAACTCTTCTTTTTCCTTCATTGCCACTACTTTCACTAGATGAAGTTAGTTCTTCACTACTTTCACTTTGTCTACTCTTCTCTTCTTCTTTGGTGTCGCTTTTGGTAACTTGCCCTCTGCTTCAAGTTGTTGCATCTTTGCCTCATGTTCACCTAGTATGTTGTAAATTTCCCATGTCCTTTTTGCCTTTGGGCTCTGGTCGCCCATCTCAGGTAACCTATATCCTAGAAAGATTTTGTCATAGTTTGTATTTGAGTCTTCGCTTATTGTTTGCATGACTCTTTCCTGAGTTTCCGGTTCAAGCTCTTCAAACAGAGCTTGTCCATATGGAATAAGCTCGTTTCCAAATATATGTTTTTGTAGCCATTCTGGTTTTCTTTCCATGTAACCAATAATATCTTTTGTGAATGGGAAAGCTTTTACCCAACGTTTCAGTCTTGCGTCATTTATTTCTGTAGTTGGTTTTATTTTGTCAAGGAACATGTTTTTCAATACTAACATTTCATTTGGTACTGTCCATTTGAGTTTTCTTAAATATTCATCCCTTCTCAGTTCATTGTCTGCAAAGTAAGTTTTTATGACATTTTGCAAACTTTCGTTTGCAAGGTCATGTACAATAGGTTCTCTTCCTTCTCCCTCCCTAACTTTCTTTCTAAACTCTTCACCAAATATACCATCTCTATGGTTCTGTGTAGTTCTTTGAGATAAATGTTCTAGAACGTCAGGTGTTATATTTCCCTCAGCCATGTTCATTTCATACCGGTCCAAAATATCTGCATCTTTCATATCTTTCAATGGCATTAAAGCCGCGCTGAAAATACCAGCTATATCTGGTTCACCATTCACTTCCATTGCGTCTACAACTTCTTGGAATTGTGGTTGTAAGTTTATGAACCACCTATCCGGATTAGCTTTATGACCCCATCTCATTGTAGTTCCATAGTCTGCAGAAACAAAAGTAGGTTTGTTTCCATATTGGTTAGGTTCTGAATGAACTTTAAACAATGTTTCATTTCTATATGTTTTGTTGAAATTTAACCTTTTATTTTCACCGAGTTCAGCCAAAGATTGAACGTTATATGGTCGTAAGTAAAAAGGATTATTGTATTTGCGTACATTTTCTTTCAGTACTTCCATTCTATGCTGAATATTTTCATCTGATGTTGGAGTCTTTTGTATGTCGTGAACATTTTTCGATATTCTTCTACTATGTCAGCCGAATTTTTCTTAGACTCTTGGAAAGATTCCATATTCACCTCATACTCTTGTTGAGGGTCAAGATTTTTCGGCTGTTCCAAATCTTCATCTAGTTCTGTGAAGTTAGTTTCCAAAGGAGGGACTTGTTCGTTTCCTTCAGGCTCTTCTAGCTGTTGTTGCTGAACTATTTCTTCCATGTCTGGTTGTATCTGAACTTCTTCCTGTTGAGTTTCTTGTACCTCATCTGCTGGCATTTCATATATTCCGAGACCGTTTTTAACAAGTTCCCTATCTAAGTCATCCGGACTCATAAACCTTTCTTCTTTCGTTCCGTCTCTATTTTTACGCGTTTCATGAAGAGAGTTGAATTATCATTTAGCCCTGACATCAAATATCTCGGAGTAAATTCATCCATGTCATTTGGATGATATGCTATTAAATCATATCCCTTAGCGAGCTTGTATTTTCCAGGTTTGAGATTATATCCGATTTGATGCTGAGCCATAAAGCTAAATAGGTTCGGGTCAGTATTTCCTTCCTTGAACTTTCTAATAGCTTCTTTATATCTGTCACTAAAGTCAAGAGTATCTGGGTAACCATAATCTTCCTTAAGCATTTTTAAGAATTCTTGGTTTCCTTTTTCTCTACTTCTTTTATGTCCTTGCTCTGTTTGTGGTTGCTGTGCAGGGTTTTGAACTGTTGGTTGTTGTGCTGGTTGTGGAGGTGGTTGTTGTGCTGGATTTTGAACTGTTGGTTGCTGTGCAGAGTTTTGAACTGTTGGTTGCTGTGCTGGATTTTGAACTGTTGGTTGTTGTGTTGGTTGTTGTTGTGGTGCATGCCTGTGTCTGTGTCCATGTGACGATGTAAATGTTTTAGGTAGTCCTGGTGCAGGTGCTTCTCTTGGAGGGTTTGGTGGTATATAAGTTCCACCAGCTGGCACATATGTTCCATCTGCAGCATAATGTCCTACCTGACTTTTCGTTTTTAAGAAAGCATTTACTAGGTCTGTTTTGGTCTGTTGTAACTCTTTTTCTTGACTTTCCACAACAGTTGCTCTAACGGCGTCATAGGCACTTTGAACTGCCTGTCTCGTTGCTGCATCTGTTATTTTCGTCATATTTTGTGCTACTTCTCTTAACTCTTTGTCGAAACCTTCAGACTTCAGTTTCTTTCCAGATGAGAAGTCGTTCACTAGTTTCACCTTACTATGAAGAGCTTCGAAGGCATTCTTAAAGTCAGCATTCATTAAAGCTTCATTTGAACTGTCTTCATCCGCTTGTATTTTTGTCCTTATTGACCCTATAAGTTGGGCTGCTTTAGCGTTGGCTTGGGCATCTAACCAGTCATTATTAGCTTTTATATATTCTGCGCTTTTCATTGCCTTCTGCATGGCTGTGTCGTTATTTTTACTTTCTTGTGCTAAGTTTTCATACTGTACGGTTTGGTTTTGCAACTGTAAAAGTTTTTCTGCCTTTACATTTGCTTCAACTTCTTTTTTATACTCATCGCTATCCATATATGTCTTCATGGCTTTTTGTTTTATCTCTTCATCTTTCAGTACTTTATATTGAGTAGTATGGTTTTTCAAATATATAACATCTTGTTCCATTTTTGCTACTTCTGCTGCTTTTTCTGACACTTTTTTTGCATATTCCTCTGTACTTAGTTCTTTCAGTTGTTCTTCTTTCTTCTTTTCTCTACGTTTAACTCATTTAGTTTCTTTGTCTGTCTGTCATATTCTAGTTTCTTTTCGTTTTCACTTATTTGTTTCTGTATGTCTATGTTTGACTTTTTGACATCTGTTATTTGATTTTTGAGTGAACTCAAATTCATTTGACTTTGAGGGTTATAAGCTGTTCCGTCTGCAGCTCCACCATAGCCTGCCATTTTCGCTAAAAGTGCCGCTCTTAAACCTCCACTCTGTGCACCAATAACTCGGTTTAAAAGCATAGGGTTGCTTGACATTTGTTGCAACATAGTGGGGTCATTCATCATTTGTTGTTGCAACTGTTGTTGTGGTGTCAGTTTTACTATTGGATGTTTCAATGCTCCCTTCCTCTTACGTATATTCTTACGTAGCTTACGTGGCATTTTAAGTGAAGTTAAAAAGCGGTTTTTGACAGATGTTTATATGACACTTTTTGTTCAGCACAAAAACCACTCGGTCAAAGTGTTGTCAGTTTTGTAAAATAACCGTCTTATCTCATTCTATAAGGGGAAAAAGGCTTCTCAAAGTATACTTCCTTGGAACGCCTGTAACTTTTCCTGTAGCGACGATAGACCTTTACTTGTCCGGACAAAGTTATACTATTTTGAGTGCTCTACAAAAAAGTCAACGGCGACGACTCTCAAAAACCGTTGTGTAAAAAGTTTTACCGTTGGACAAAAAAGTATATATAGAAAACAAAAAACGTTTATAGTTCATTCAATATTTGAGATAAACCGTTTTTTCCAACGGTAACTATTAAATAAAATAAAAAATAGAGGGGGTTACCGTTGACGAAAACCGTTTTTATTCAATATTCATTTTCCACAAACTTCTGGTCAGTTCATTTTTTCTCAATGGAGCCCAACACCACTGACACTGCTGTTACCAATTCTACCCTTCGTAGGGGACAACAAATGTTGTTAACAACATTCTTCAAGCAAACCCCAAAGGTTTCTCAACCTACTCCTTCGGTTGAAGCAACAATTCAGGGTCAATCAGACTCAAATTCGAATTCAAACCAAATTCCACCCAATTCTACTTCAAACCAACCTTCAAACGCACCAGAACAACACACACATGTCTCAACCTCTCAAACTACACAGCAAACACAAAGACAAACTTCCAATTCTGGTACAATTCCAATTGTACTTACTCATGAAGAAGAAGAAGAATATTTGGTAGAACCAGAAATAAAAGAAAGCGATATTCGTAAGGACGCAGTCAAGAGACTCGAACAATTCATGAAGAATTACTCACAAAACTTAAGCATTAAAGACACAAATGACTATTCAGATTTCTACAATGATATTATTGAAGCCGTCAAAAAATTTGAAGATAATGTTCAAAATCCAACAAACCTTTCAGAATTCTTCTTCAAATTGCTTCCTTATACAGCAAATATCATTGGTTTACAGTTCTGTGACGAGTTTATTCAAACATTCAGTCCCAGACAGCAAAAAAGTCTATAGGCACGTCTGAAACTGTTTCATCCTTATCCACTTACATATAATTGGATTGAAGAACTTCAAGAACACGGAAAGGAACAACATTTCAAGTTCTATGTAGATGTTCCTCAAGGAAAGCTTGCTAAGACATTCACAATACAACCAAAACAATTCTATGAAGACTTTCTTCACGTAATTTCAACTATTGCTATGGTTGAGCCTGAAAGGGTTACATTCGGTCAAAGTGTTTCTCTATATAATGTTCGTCAAGGACGTGAGCCGCTTAAAATAGCCGAGTTTACCTCCTCCTCAGCACAGCTCAAATTGGACTGCGAATTCCAATTTGTTGGAAACTCCAAGTTCTCTCTCCATACACCATTCAACCAACGCATCCGTATCTTCATTGCTGGATATGTTGGAGACCCTATAACAAATGATGATGAAGAAGAAACTTCAGAAGAAGATAACTAAAACCGTTCCAATAAAAAATTTCATTTTATTATTATATAATTTTTTAGTTCTCCTCTAGGTTTTCTTATGGGCTAGAGGGCACGAGGTGCCTGGAAGCCCTACCTACCTGACCCTGATTTATTTATAATGATTGTATTAAGTGGTCTCAAATTGAGCTTCTCAAATATAAGGTGGCCTATTCAAATAATAAAATTAAATAATATTTAAAATAATAAATAAAAGTGATTGAGGTCATAGCAAAACGGCTGTTTCAGTCATTAATTCTTAAAAATAAAAAGGGTAAAAACTAAATAAAATGGGTAAAATTCAATAGTGTCTGTGCTATTGTTCAATTTGAAGGTGTCTTTTGAAACCGCAAGACACATTGAATTTTTGAATAGTGTATTATGGTTTGACAGACACCAATGAAAAAAATAAAATGATATTTATTTTAAATATATAAGATCCTTATATAAAATATAAATATTTTATCGTTTTATTTTCTTGTTTTAGAAATGTTTTTTATTGAAAAATCAATAAAACTAACTCCAAAATAAAATTTTTGATTTAAAGACACTATGATGACACCAGGCAAATCTTCCAAGACACCTATCGTCGGGAATCTAACAACCCTATAAGGATGTCAATTTGGAAGAAAAGTGAGAAAATTCCTAAAATGCTAAAAATGAATTTTCCCAACGTATTTTTTTATCTCATTTTTTTGATTTTGAAAAAAATTTGGAGAGAAGATCTCTTCGTTTTTGAATTTTATCACGATGGTTTTAAAGTATATTAGACACATGTATTGGTATTACTATTTTTGTATATTTTGAGAGAAAATCCCTAAAAAGTGAGAAAATCTAAGACAGTTTGAAAAAATATATAAACTATTGAAAATTTGAATTAAACTTCTAATTTGGAAAAAAGAAATTTGGAAAGAAGAAAATTCAAAAATCGAGATTTAGACTCAGCATCAAATGGAGAACAAAATGTTTCTTCATATGAAGGAAAAAAATTTTCTTGTGAAGAAATAGAGTTTTTAAAATTTTATTGTATGTAATGAAATAAACAAATATTAAAATTATTTTTTGATAACAAGAAAATTCCCAATAGAAAATATTTGAGAGAAAGAAAAAAAGAAAATTGAAAAATATTACTCTCCTTTATATTTCATGAGATTTTAAATTTATTCTCATAAAATTGACAATTTTATACGTTTAGATGAAAATAAGTGATTTTGGTTGAAATAGAAATTATTATTTGCTTACAGCTATCAAATATATTTTTGCTATTTTGATTAAAATTTGTTAATCAAATTAATAATTTTTTTTCTAAATATCTTAAATATCTGGATCACTCACATATACAATGAATTGAACGATAAAAATAATACAAACTCAACTAAGTTTCCTGTCTTTCAACTAAAAAAAATTATGCAAATTAAATTAAATTGTTTATTCAAATATAAAACAAAGATGAAGTAATTACAGTTATCATAAACTTTATGAATAACTCTGTAATTGGTTCAGATTTTCGTAAAAATATTTTTATTAATATCGATAAGAATACGTTTACCTACTATCACAACATATCGATAAACAAGAGTAGAGTGATTTTTATCATCGAAACTTTTTAAAAGCTGTAAGCTGGAAGGAAAAATCTTGTTTTTTCTGAGTTAGTTGTAGAACTATTGATGCACGAGTTATCATTGTGATGTAGAAGGATGTCAATGTACTGACTGAAGGATATGAAGTGAATTGAATTTCATTGCATTTCAATTTGATCAAAATTTGTTGAAATGATATGAATGTGTCAACATCTGTATCACTCTCTTTCACTCCTTCCCTATTCTTTCGAGAACGAAGCTAGCTCAGCTTTCGCTGAGCGAATTGACACTTTTGATGTCCTAAACGTACATGCTCTCAAATTTATCGAAAAAAATTATACCACCTAAACTAGTATATTCTTATTTTAAATATGATATTATCCTTAGAATCCACACTAGAATATATTTAAATCAACTTTTAAAAAAGTTCGAATCCTGCGCGTCTCACTTTTTAAATTTTCGAAAAGGAAAATTATATTCTCCTAAAATGAAAACAATTTTCCGAATTGACATCCTTATGGTGAGTTAACATACGCAACAGTTTTGAAAAAAGTTCCATATTCTTATCAAAATGTTACAATTTTCAAACAAATTTCAAGAAATACTCTCAAAAAAGCATTCAAAGAAATCGGTGGTACACCAAAATTAAAAGTGGTCCTCCACAAGAGGAATTAACTCCAGAATTAATTTTGAAGGTTCAGAATTCTTATGAAAATTACAAATGTGGGGTTCAAAAATTGTATTGGACTCTCAATATGAATCCAAAACAATTTCAAATCAGTTACAATGCAGTTATTAAGGCAGCAAAATTTCTGGGAATTTACAAAGAAAAAGATAAAAGTAATCCAAAAGCATATTATGTGGATTATGAAGCAATTCTTCCAAATACAATCTGGCATGTGGATATTCATTTTTTGAAAGAACCAGAAACTTTACCGGTTTATGGAATAATTGATGACAAAAGTCGTTATTTGTTAGCATTGAAATTGCTTCGTAACAAAAGTTCAACAGAAACTTCAAAAGTGGCAATTGCAACAGTTCAAAAATATGGAGCACCTTTCTGTTTCTGGTCAGATAACGGTAAAGAAAATGAGGGAGAGTTCACAAAATTTTTGAGTACTTATGACATTCAAATCAGAAAATCAGCTCCATACATGCCACGTCAAAATGGCAAAATTGAA